ATACTGCCATCGGCGCTCTGTATGGGTAACAAATACAAAAACTAAACAAAATAAATAAAAACTATAACAAATATACTTACAGAATATACAGGCTACTCATTATATGAATTTATTGACGGAGATGACCTACTTTATTCCTTTATCGATTTTGATTTATCTATAAAAAAATTTGATAAAATTAAACCTAAGCTTAAGCTTACAGTTAAAGAAATACAGGATTTACTTTATCATGCCCTTAAAGAAGTATGTTTAGAAATATATCCAGATTAGAATCGCAAAATATTGACTATTGCTAGTAGTAGTAACAAGAAAAAAATGTCTCTCCATATATCAACTTTTGGTTTCTGACTCAAAAATATTGCTAAAGTTGCAGTATTTACTGAGCTCATTTGCAAAAAACTTCTAATAGATTTACAAGAAAAAGATATTGTTGATAACATTGCCAACAAAAGCTTATTTTCTTTATGAATGCTTAATACCTTAAAGGTAATCGAAATAAAATGTAATGAAAGCAGTAAAAAATTGTATAAGCATATCCATCTGAAAAGAGTGATATTTCCAAAAGATAGTTCAGTCTTTGATTTTATGCTTCGTCTACCTAACAATGAGGCACTAGTTATAGATAGTCTAATCTTAGTCTTAAAAGATAAAATGTCAATCGAAGATAGGTCGATACCAGAAAAAAATAAAATCAATGCCAGAACTATTGGAGCTGAAGTCGATTATATAGAGAAACTACTCAATATAATAAATATCAAAGGTTTTGATGTTTTATACCCAACTCCTGTATCTCCAGATATATTTACTTTAAGATGTATAACAGGATCATATTGCCCTCTATGTAATCGAAAACATAGCAATGATAATGCATATATAGTCTGAAACAAAAAAACCTATCATTTCTATTGTTATCGTGCAAATCAAGATACGCCTAAAGGTACAAAAAAACTTTTATTAAAACTTATTATTAATGAGACTGTTGAAAATCGGGAAAAAAGTTTACTACTCCCTAAAAATAGAACGTCTCAGAATTTCTGATCCAAATGACCACTTTGTATAGGGTGACTTAATTGATATGTGTATATCAGGAAAAAATATATACTCGTAATCAAGTTTATGAAGCAATACAAGTAACTATCGCATGTATCTAAACAACTTCAAGATTATGAATACTTAAAATGGAAGATTCAGATAATAGTTTTTATTACGATATAGCATCTAAGCTAGATTTTGCTAAGTATGAAATTAAAATGATAGAATATGGAGGTAAAACAGTGAAGTTAAAAATATTAATAGACCAAGCAGTTATTAAAGGTCTAATTCTTTATCATAATATTGATTTCCTACTATATTCCCCAAATACTTCTCCAACAAATACCAAGTTTTTTAACCTTTTTCTAGGATTCAAAGCCTAACCAACAATCGAGATTAATCTAGCTATTATTGATCCAATTCTATGGCATACAAAAAATATAATCTCAGATAGGAATGAAGAGCTTAGTAAATATTTCTGGTACTGGTGTGCATATCTAGTACAACAACCATCTAAAAAACCTGGAACAATTCAAGTATTGCACTCCTTACCAGGTTGGAGAAAAATATCTTAATTGATTTTATAGGTAAGAAAGTCCTCAGATTAGAGCTTTTCTATATAACATCTGATCTTGAAAAAATATTAGGGCATTTTAATAGTTGCATTCAGGCTCGTAAACTAATTGTTATGAATGAAACAAGTATGTCTAGTGGAGATTGGAATAAGTATAATGATCATTTTAAATCACTTATCACAGAAGATTATTTAACAATTGAACGCAAAGGTATCAAACCAAAAGTCATAAAAGATTATGCTAGGTTTATAGTATTAAGTAATTATGATACTCTACTCTGAATAGAAATAGGTGATCAGTATATTGTGTGTTTCGATGTATCTTTCTGTTATAAAGGTAACGTAGCATATTTTAAGAATTTGGTCAAAGTACTCGAGCACTCTAACATGCCAAATATAATTATGGCTTATTTACTCAGTCTTGATATCTCAGATTGGAATCAACAAGATATTCCTGCTACTAAAATGAAAACAGATATAATGTTGGAATATTTACCAAACCCAAAATGATTTATAATTGATCATATTTCATCTTAGTCTGAAAATAGAACTAAGAATTCAATATATTGTCACGCCTATAATTTTCTATTTTTTTATTTTTCTTTTATTTTATTTTTAGTTTTATTATTTGATTTAGTATTTTT